TTTGTAGTCAGGAGAACCGTTTTTCTTTTTAGCAAGTGTCACTATAATGTGCCAGTAATCATAAATTTACACGCATACTGCTACTGTTATTTTTAAAATTGACAGAAGATACGGTCGATTAGCCGAAAATGATTATAGTTTAATCCCATTTTAATGGGATTTCTCTCAGTGTATGTCATTTAATCGCTGGTAAGACTCGCAGTAGTTACGCACTGTGAAAAGACCATCGGTTGCGTTCTGACATACGATTTATTGAATATATAAATATATAAATATTTTTTTCATATTAGCGAGTCCTTAACTAAATACATTAATAATAATAATAAATATTTTTCTTCTTTGATTTCCACAATGTTTAATGTTCTAGCATCGGACTATCGAGCAGCCGAACTCGAGCGCTGACGTGCGTGGCGAAAATGCGGACGCGGTTTAACACGCCAGGCACAAGCATGTGTGTGTGTGTGTGTGTGTGGGTGGATGTGCGTGCCGCGCGCGAAAACTTTGTTAGCGTATGATCCGCGGGGCACGAGTCACGAAGGGGCCCCGCCGATCCTCGGAATTCCACGCGGATATTCGCGCCTTATTAACGACGCACGTCGTCGCGGTACTACGCGCTCCACGAAGGCAGCACGTAATAAAGTACAGTTAATAGTCCTCGGGCCCGGCGTTTCTCGATGTCTTCGAGCAAATCCCGTGGTGACGTGCGAAAGGAGGAGAGAGAGAGAGAAAGAGAGATATGATATCGGCTTGAAGAGAGATTGTCGAACTGGAGGCGTGAGTTTGCCTGGAAGCGTGGAATTCCATCGATCGCCTTGTTAACGACGCCCACAAGCGGGGAATAAACTGTTCACGCCGGTGGTAAAAAACGGGAAAAAAGGAGAGAAACGAGAGGAAAAGCGGTCTTAACTGCTTATTCGCTGCTTTCTCATGCGAGACGTATTTAACGACACAAAGTCGCGCGAGAATTATGTATTATTATTTATTCGCGTTCTTTCTTTCTCGCGCGCACACACACACACACACGCGCGCGCCCGTACGCACGCATACCTCGACACTTAATAACGCGAGGTGTCGGGCGGATTTGTGCGTAATTGCTTATTCTCGCGGTCGCGTTTCCCCCGATAAGTATTTACGCGCGAGCAAAAAATCAACGCTCACGAAGCTGCCACTTTTTTACAAGAGAGAACCAGAAACTGACCGGCACGACAAATTTTCCATGCCGTTCAGCTTATCTCACTCACGATGCACCGGACGATTTGCATTACCACAAGTGTGACTAGGGTTTTTCTTTTCCCTGTTATACGAGAGCGCTTGCGTCATTTGTCTATATCTTATTTGATTATCTTCCGCATACACCGTCTTCTTTACACGTCGCCCGGTTTCCTCGGCGTGAATAAACTTTACATTCTCAGATCGATGTTTCGCGTCAATGGGAACAAAAAGTACTCCGATATTCTCATTTGCGCCTAACGTCCATCACGGAGGATAACTTCGGTGTTCACGGTGATATGTCTTATCTTATAATTAGAAACGAAACGATAATCAAGTGACAGTTAAAGCTTGCAGGTACATAACGTAGGCCTCGTTTTACTTAATCTCGATTGCACGTAGATTCGGCGAGTGATGATTCGCAACACAAAGCAACCGGTATTCGGGAGAATTAGCGGAACAATGCGACACGGAAACGTAAGTTTCCAGCGGATTCCATCCGTGAGATCGTCAGCGTTCGAATTTCTCGGCACTGACAAACCGCAGGAGCGAGAGAAGAAACGTCCAGCCAGGCGATGAAGCGATATTTTCCGCGGGACACGCTCGTGAGACAAGGTAGAGCCCGGAGACGGTGCCTTTGGAGAGGAGAGCGCGGCGGAAGCGACGAGTCCTGTCGGGGACCAAGATGGCTTCCACTCGTCACGGTAGTTTCCCGGTTTCTCCCTCTCTGGCTTAATTCCCGATACCGACGACGTCAGGCCATCTCTCGTCCTTCTTTCGCGCACGTCGCGCCATACACAACACGTGTGATGCACGCATGTGGGATTTCGCGTGTCTCGCCCGGAGGTGCGCACGTGCGTACGAGAAGCATTGTATCGAGCCGCGGTCACCCCTCGGTGTCGCAGATTAGCATATCAATCCCTTCGTTATATCATCGCCCCGTGCGACTTGTTTTTATCTCTCTCCTTGCCGCTCGCACCTACCCTCTTCAGCTACGTCGACGCCATTAGGACTCCTACGCGAGCATAAAGGTACTTTCCCCTTCGACCTTTACACCGCACTTACGTCTTATGTTCTCGTCTGCGACTGGAGATCGAAATTTGGATGTTACCGCGACACTCGTAAGACTGACAGTTATGTGGAGTAATCGACTTTTACTTGAATCGAGTAAATACCACTCGGGCACTAGCACTTTTCTTCAGTTCGTATTCAACGCAATTGATTTCGGCGATGAAAATAATGAAAACGAAAATTTAGGACATCATTGTCGAAGTGAGACTAAGTTGTATTGTGAAAATTCTGGAATTTGCTTCGCTATCGTTCACCTTCGTCCGTGTTGTGTAATTAAAGGTTTAACGTAGAGCCAACATTTCAATTCGGGGCTGCTTCGAGGACAGCCCTGGAAGGACGTTTACTCGAGGTTTTCAAAAAGCAACTACGCGAATTTCTGACAATTCGTGGCATTTTTACGTGCACTTTATTTCCATCGTTCTCGCGATCCTGAGAAGTTCTTGTATATCCGACCTATGTTAGCGATATTAACGAGAGATTAATGCATTCCGACATCCTCGGGCTCGGCGATAATAAATATCAATGATGTCGTTAATAAATACTACCGACGGATTGCATTAATCCGTTGCGTCCGGTGCGTTATGTAATTGCCGTGTGTGAATAAAATTACCGTTGAAACGCGATGCATTAGTCTCGCACACATACGCGCTAACGGCTGATAGTTTTTGCACGAGCGAACAGCGCGAACGAAATCGTTGACATGTTCGTTAAAGTGTCTAATGTTATCCTGCTTTCCTCACTCCAATAATTCGAATGTGAAACGGCGAAACAGGACGGAGGGCGATGAGAGGGAGGGGAAGAGGGGGTAGCGAGAGGATGGCGGTTGGAAATCGGTGAAATCGCGAGTTGAGAAAAATCCCGTTCCGGGGAGTCGCGTTCAGTCGTTCAGGCGATTCGTAATCCACTCGTTTAACAATTTAAATGCCGTGAGTGCCGTGACGGTCACTGGCGATCAGCACTGTGATTTCTCGTTGAGTTACGTACAAAGTGTATAATTAATTGTACTTGAAAAATTGATTGCACGCTGCAGTGGAAAGCTAATGAAACGAGATAAAAGATACACGCTTATAGAATTACACGTATTTGTATTTGTTAACTCACAATCAGTTGAGCTTCTATAACTCAATTGTTAGTTAAATTTTTGTACACAGAAAAGAAAATTGGCATCAGTGCGAGACTTATATTTTTATACAACTATAAGCAAGAATATGCAATCTTATGTGAAAGTAAAATTTGCTCATATGAAGAAATTCTATATAGTTCTACTAAAAATATTCTATTTTACTCAAGAATAATTTTCTTCTAAATTCACAAAAATTATTCTTGTGAATAACAAATATGTAATATTTTAAAATTTTATTTTAAAATTTTATTTTAAAATATATCTATTTCTTCGCGTAGGAACAAGTTTTATCTTTATATAAGATTGTGTATATTCTTGCTTATACACGTGTGAAAATATTAGTCATGTATTGATATTAATTTGTTTTCTGTATGCTCTCCAATTTTTGAGAGTGAAACCTCACTCTCAAAATGAATGAAAAATTCACTCGAAGCGATAACAAAAATGCTAGCACTCGAGATCGATAGAGTGAATATTCCACTCGAGCTTAGAGCGGATGCTGACTAGATGCGAGTAAATATTTCGCTGAATTTGAGCAAATCTGTCCCCGTGTGCTTGTTCGCTTGATCCAAATGAAAATTCACAAGAGTAGTTAACATTTTCAGGAGTACTGGCATAATTATTTACGCGAACCCAGCATTTGTTCTCTTTGTGCGATCAAAACGAAAGTCGACGGCGGCGGTCAACGCGTGTTAAAGTCGCGGAGGTCATTCGCCCGTGCTTTTCCATTGTGCTTTCTCACCCTTTTCTTTTCTTTACGTCGCCAGAGTTTCGCGTGTCTCAACGGCCGCCGCGATAATTGCCTTTTTTTATGAATCAACACGAGTGAATATCGCGAAGCCGAGTACGAACGAGGGACGATCATTGCCGCGAAACGAGCAGGGAAAAACAATGAGGAGCGCTGCGTCGTGTAAATGCATTTTCTCGTCGCGTTCTTCTCACGGAGCGCGGATCGCCGCGTAGGTATCAATCTTGCTTAACGCATCCCGGGAATGCTAATGCCGCCACTGACGTCGCTTTATTAATTGCGCATACTATTCGCATGTTACCGCACTTCAGTGATAGACAATGTGCGCACGCGCATTAGATAATATATTAATCCAATAATCGGTGTCGCGATCTCGCGCGAACGCACTAACGCATCATCTCGTCGCTCCGGTCGTAATGAAAAATTTCATCATGTTAACGATGCATCCGTTACTGTGTCAACATTGTAATTGGCACGTCTGGATTACGGCCCGAATTGGCACGGTGGATTACAGCGGAGGTGATCCACGTGCGAACGGGGGGAGGGGATTCGCTCGTTGAAAGTTATATCGAGTCATTCGGGCTTGTAATTTATTTCCGCGCGCGATTATTATTTCGCGTCGAGCTCTCTCGCATTATCTCGGCAATGCGCAAATATAACACCTTATTTCCGTTTTCTCTCTTTATCTTTATTTTCACCTCTGTTTTGATATCATTCTTTTAAATTTTTGTTGCTATTTTGGCCTCTGCTTTCTGCTTGCTATGTAATTTTCTCCGTATCCCACTTGTCTCTTCACACGCCCATCTACGTATCTACCTCTTCCCTTCCTTCTCCCTTTTGCTCTTTTACCTGCGTCTCCGTTAACGACAACGCTTGCGCCAACTGCTTCCTCTCCGCGCCCACGACGTAGTGATTCTTCTCGAACGCGTGCTCCAGCTTCAGCAGCTGGCTCGGGCTGAAGGCCGTCCTTATTCTCTTCGGTTTCCTGAAGGGCTGCAGCAGGAAGCCGGATATGTCGGGACCTGGAACCGACGATTTTCCGATTGACTGTGGGCTCTCGGCAAAGTCTTGAGAAACACACACATACACACACACACACACACACATATACACATAAACAGACGTTCCGACGGGAATGACAGGCGAGACTAAGAAGAAGAAGACGACGGCATAATGGCATTAGCATAATAAAGTCCGTGGCATATCAATAAGTACGTAGAGAATACGGTGGAATCTAAATAATGAATCAACGCGATACGAATCGACGACGAGTAAGAAGAACGCGTAACTCACCGGCCCGACAAATTAAAGCGGTAATTGAATTACCGCGAGGAGAGCGGCAGCCCGCATAAAGTCCTCCCGTGATCGGACAGAGTCGTGAGCGGCCGACGGCGGCCTTGCGATTTATTAACGATTAATTAATTGTTCAACGCCACGGCGTCGTCCACTGGGTCGGAGGTCTCTCTCTCTCTCTCTTCTTCGTCGGCCGGCGCCGTGGAAAATAAATGTAATCGGCACGCGCACCCGCCTCGCGAATTCGTGTACGGATAGTCCCGTGCGTGCGCCGAAAGAGGAAAAACCAGTGAGGGGTTGTACACCGATGGGGTGTACGAGGAAGAGAGGGGGGAGGAGGAAGAAGGTGTACGGAAGCGGGAACCTGGGGCCAGGTAATTGAGTATTCTACCACGAAAGAGCGATGTCGATCCGCCGATACGCCACGTCTGCCGGAAGTCAGCCGAGATGCTTTAGCGGAAAGCACGGGACGATAAATCGCCACATCGCGCTCACGGAGCGAGCCGGGCTCCCCCTCGACGCGTGACCGGCTCTCTCTCTCTCTCTCTCTCTCTTTCGCCTTCTGTTACAGCGTGTTAATCCGATTTCCAGCGATCGCCAACGGAGGAGGACGTGTCGCGGAAACGAGACCGCCAGGTCAAAACAAGATTCGCGCAACTAAAACTTAATTCTTCTTACTCGAATTTGTATTTTTTTTTACTAGTACTACACTGTGAAGAAATAAAAATAAGGAGTTAGTAAGAATAAGTAGAATTTTTAAAAAGAAACTAGTGGGAAAACTCGAGTAAGAAGAATTCAGTTTTAGGGTTGCGCAAATTTTGTTGCGTCGAGTTGAAATGAATAAAAATCGAGTCGGATCGGCAATTCGACGTGGAAATTTGATCCACGAAGTTTCGTCAATGACGAAAAGGTTAACAAAACCGAAATATATTTGCTGTGTACGATATTAACGTTCTTTTAAACAGTTGATCTAATTTCATATAATACGAGTTCTACGAGTTCTAGTTCTCTACTCTACGAATAGCTCCACCAGTAGAAGGTCAAATAAATTTTAACGAACGCAACCAGTAAATAATACAGATTGGATTAGTCTTACGATTGTCAAACTAAGCAACGAACTTGTTTCGCACAAACGGCAAATTACAAGAAAAAAAAATGCTAAAATTCTGCTAAAAATATGAAGGCGATTAATTCGTCACGCACTACCGTGAAATTGAATTCGTTTAACCCGATTCAAGTCGTTTAAAATGATACCTTCGCCGGCGGTGTGCGTACGGGGCACGGTAAAGATCGGACAAATATTAATGCGCGTATATATTTGTAACGTTATAAATAAATAAAAAGGGTCGTGTGATTTATCGCATCTTGATAACGCGCAATTTTATCTGGCACGAGTATCGGGACGCGAAATTCCCCGAGACTTCTTCGCGCGCGCGCGATCTCGCCGGAGTCAATTAGCAGCGCGCGGCGCTGCTCTTCCCGCGTTATTATTCATTGCGGTTTCTAAATTACAGCGTCAGCGCGGCAAAGTGATCTAAATAAGTCACGCTCAGTAGGTTACACCCATGGTAACCGGTATATAACGTACACGCGACCAACGGCTCGTCGGTGAATCGTATCATTTGCATCGCGAAAAATTCCCGCTAGGATTTCGCGCGCGCGCGCGACTGAAACTGACGGGTTAATAACTGAACAAGTCGGCCGATACACTTTTATATATATATATATATATATATACATCCTTTGAGTGCGCGTGTGTGTCTTTTCCCACATTTCCGCGAGCGTCGTAGATATTCTCTCAATTACAACGTCGGCCGACGGGCGCGATCGAAAAGTGGGTTAAACTTCCCATCGACCGACGGTATCGTTCGATGAGTCACTCCGCGTGCCGCAAAAAAAATGTCCGCTGTAATCTTCACGGCCGAGAGAGACTGTAACTCGAGTTTACACCCGCGAGCGCGATGAATGACCTTCCGTCGCGGTGAGTCACACTTTCCGCGACACGAGATGCGGAATTCATGAAAAAAAAACGCTGTTAGTCCGTCGGGAAAGCCCGAGTCGAAATCTTGACGCTAATCTGACGCTCTCAAGGATAGTTCGCGGCTGCTTGAAGGACCTACAAATTTATAAATACACCTACTTTACACGGAGGAAACGAATTTTGCCAGATCAGCAAACGTTTGTCGATATAGTGACAGCAAAGAAAACGTTTTGACAGCAAGAAATTTGGTTTGGAAGATTTCTTATTAATTTTGTCCATGTATATCCAGCAAATGGCGATTAATTCGTCTTTGGTGGGAATTCCTCGAAACGTACGATTGAAATCAGCGCGAGCTGTTTCACAGGACGGCGCGTTTGTCGGGCATTCTTTGGAACTTTTCGCAGAGGAATCTCGAAACGAAGGAACATCTTAACGAGCACGTCGCGTACGCACGGGCGTGTTGCTGCTTAAAGCGGGACGCGCTTCCCCACGTGCGAGCGCATTCCTGCGAGTCGCACCGGCGAAGGTTGGATCCTTGACGCAATCAGAACGGCTCGCGTGCGAACAGACGCATTAATCAGCGCTATCCCGAGGTGGCGAAAACGCGAGCCGCTTCCGCGATCCACGTAATCCGGCGTAATCCAAGTTATCAAGCTAAGCTTGACGAGCCAATTGTAAGAAACGCGCCGTCTAAACCCGATCACTTTTATTCGCGCGACGTTTTCGAGATTGCCTCTTCATATAATTTCTCCATTGTTATTTATGTAATATTCATATAATTATATTTATATAGAATCTCCTCATATGTATTATACGTGTGTAAACAGAAAGATATCCTTCTTCATTTTAACCCGAAAAGAAAGAAAAATAGTAATAGCAATAATGTGTAAGATTATTATCATTGACACTACGTACTGAAAAAGAAATGCTTTTCCCGACTTATTCTTTCACTTATGCGATTACAATTACAAGTGCCAACAACTTTTTTCTCTGTGCAATTGAACTAAAATGGAAAATCCTGATGCAAAAATACAGAGGGAGATTATTTTGTCCGCAGTTTTCTTTCAATTTCTAACATGACATATCTTTGTAACTAATATTTAAAAGGAATTTTAAAATATAACTTTCTATTATCTGCGCTCGAAGGGATCTTTTCCAGAGCACATAATAAATCTATCTATCTATATATTATCTATATATATTATCTATATATCTATATATATATTAATATATAATACTCTACGTAGTATACACATAAGATACACTTTAAAATTAGCTAAAAATATAATCTTGCCATTCGCTTGGCTTCCTGAAGTTTAATCCGTGAAAAAGCCATCTTTTTTATTACCTCATAACTTAAAGAATATTGATATCTGATATTTTTATATTAAGATTATCGACAGTTAAATATCAAAGGATCAAACTAATTAATATATCGCACGATGGTTTCTTTTTTAGGACGGCCTCTATGCATTTCACGATTAAAGTATTTTAGATTCCGTGACACTTCATTGCTCAGCCGTTTATCCCGCGCAATAAAGGGGACGCCTCGCGATGGATGTAAATTACTTCGAATTACACGAGCAAGCGATTTTCCGCAGTTACGCGCGATCAACGCTAATTGCCGCGACGGAATAAAGGATCATTAGCGGCGCGCTCGTGCGCGAAAACCGATCGTTGCTGTTTGCGCAGGTAATGAATAGTAATGCGGTGACTTACTGCTGCCGGCGCGCTCGCGCCGCGATTTTGAATGCGCAACATATGTTTGCGAACCGCGGCCATGAAGTAACGATCGCGTTTCGCCAATAATTAATTAGTTAACTCCCGAACGGCCTGGAATTATGCGTGCCCGACGATGCGAGAAAAGTGCGAGACAATAAGCGCGCACGCCGCGCGTAATTTAATCGGTCTCGCGATCGGCAACAAATAAAAACGACCGAATTTCGTTATCGGTTATTATCATCGTAAAAAGATCTCAGGAACATTTGTTTCCCTTTTCATCTCTCACTCTCTTTTCCTTTGTGCATTTTAATTTGTAGAAGTATCAAGATTGACATACTGCTTCGTTTCAGGGTTCTAAAATCCCGTTAAAGGTGTGAAATTAAAATTTATGCTCACAGATAAGAAACGGCAACATTTATCTACCAAAACATATTGTAGATTTTTGAATATTATTATACATTATCTTGCAAATGAATACTTTTTAGGAAGTCGGAAGAATGACGTTTCGAGAAAGACCCCAAAACCAACATATCCATGGCACCTAGCAGGAGATTATCAAAAATAAAATATAAACCCAGACGTTACATTATTTTATACATTTATTATATATCCTTACGCGCCATCTTTCATTTTGCATATTTTTATTACGTGAAAAAAATTCCCTGAGACTTTTTTTTCCGATTATCTTAAAACAAACAAACGAGAAAAGCAAGGGAAAATCAGTCATTGGTAGCTTCAACTCCATTGTACTCCGTATTCTGATTGTTCACAGCAAAGTTCAAGTATGTCGATTGAAAGACCGGTAAACTCAAGTATGTCGTTTCACAGAACAACTTAGTTCTAATCTTTCTATGCTTAGTGACGGAGGATATGTATAGACCGGCACCGATCCGAAGTGTTTTAAAAAGTTCGAAATGCTATAAAATAGTATCGCCCGATCTATTATTTACCGCTGATTTGTTACTAAAAAATTTCGAAGAACATGATTCGAAGAAAATTTCAGCACATCGAGAAACCAATGAACGC